TCTGTCATCTGCAGAAACTATCTACTCGACAATGGAGGAGGAATGCTTTGCTGTTATTAGGGCGATATCAAAGTTCCGGTCGTATCTGTATGGCCGTTCATTCAAAGTCGTTAGGGACCATCATGCCCTCTGTTGGCTGGCTAATCTCAAGGCCCCTTCAGGGCACCTCGCGAGGTGGAGCTTGCATCTCAAGAATTGGACGTAACAGTCACCTACAAGTCTGGCCGCAGGCACACTCATGCTGATTGCCTTTCATGAGCTCCCCTTGCAACGACATCGAGCGATGACGATACCGATGGCTGTTTTCTTTGCGTGGTCAGTGAATCTGACTTGGCTCAAGAACAGCGGAATGATTCAGAGCTTCAACAACTACCTCGAAGGCCACAGCTCGAGTCCACCACGGGAATTCGCACATTCAGGGACATTTGGTCTCCGCAATGACATCCTCTACAAAAAGAGCTTGGAACCTTGTGTGACTGAATACCTGCTCGTCATTCTATCAGGGCTACGTGCTGACATTTTATTTGCCTGCCATAACGAGCCTTCGTCTGGCAACTTGGGATTTGCGCATACCCTTGCCCGGATTCGGACTCCCTACCACTGGCCAAAGCTCACCCAGTATGTCAAGCATTACGTTAAAACATGCAACCATTGTCAGCGCCGTAAAGCCCCACATAGAAGTGTGGCGGTTGGGGCTAGTTGGTATGACAGGATGATTGTAAACACTCGCATTCTTCTTATCCCTTTGTCGTTATTCTGTTCTCGCACTATAACAATCGCCCTTGCACCAACATCAACACGGTTTGAACGAATTGGCATGGACATGCTCGGGCCCTTCCGGAAGTTGATTGATATGTGGTGTTTAACATCTCAAAACCACTATGAGAGAGGCCGTAGTGGAGAGCTCTGGGAATCCCGACAACCTGGAGTGCCCTTTCCAAAGTCACAAGATGGAAGCCGCTTGATTGTAGTCACTACTGAATAATTGATGAGGTACTGCAAAATAAAAGCCCTATAACGAGGCACCACCAATGAGAGTGCATACTTTTTTTGAAAATCGTCCTCCACCATGGAGCCCCAGTAGTGGTCATCACATGTAGTTAGATGCCAAAATTGCTTGCAGTACACAAAGAAATGCTTCGCATTTAAAATGCATCACTGCAATAGATCGAGGACCACTGGCGGCATTATATGAAAGCTCGGGTAGTGTTTGTTGTAACCAAGTATATTTCTGGGTCTTAAGGGGGTATGGTAGGGTAAATGGCTTATGTCAGATTTAGCATAATATGTTAGATACGGCTGTAAGTATTCCCATAAAGTGTTACATGCTCCCAAGAATGCCATCGGGTATCAAGTGACACCCTTTTTTTATGTCTAGGTTACCCATCCTTCCTATGGCCCACTCCCAAATTTTAAAAGAGGTTGACTTATTCAATGCACCTTTTGTCTGCAACTACTGAAAGGAATGTATTAATATTCAAAAGAGACTCATAGGCTACATACAAAGTAAAACATTTTTCATGAAGTTTTCAAAAGAAGAAATAAAATTACTGCATGCACAAGGCCACATAGGGTGTGTATTGTTGTGCAATTCTTTTACAGCTTCACTTTTTATGAAATGAGCAATTTTATTAGTGCAGACTGTTTCTCACTTGTAGTAGCTCATGCATAAAAGTTTCATCAAATTTGATTCTGTACTTTTTGAAAAAATTACGCTAAATTTGAAAAGTGCATTTAAAAAATCGCAAATTGAGAATAAAAAAGTTCTATGTGCGCATGCGCCTGAGGGCACGCGCCGCACTTCACTTGGAGCGGCCGCTTCACGTTGGGCTTTCACAGGCTTGTTCCACTGAGTACAGTGGATTTATTGATGTTGAAATTCAATTTTCGGGGGGTTTACCCTCCTCATACTATGTAAACAGGTCGACTGCACAGTTGGCGAAAGCCGAACGGCAACATGCGCAGCAAGTCACAGGGATATAGAGTTGTAGCAAAATGGCGCACTTGGTACTGTTGGACCGCCACTGATCAAGTTTGCACCAACTGGCCCAGGTGAAAGCATTACTGCACCATCATTGGCCGCCGACTGAACCCTATCATATGCTTCTATGTCTTGTCTGGATCTATCTCGTATCTTTATAGTGCACACACTTGGGCTACCCCACAGACTTTGCTAATTCGCGATTCGTTCCTCGTGTAGGACCTGTTCTCGCTCACTTCGCACTCCACTTAGCATGCCCTCCTTACGTGTACGAAGGTGTAAAAACGGCTAATACATGTCTCGGTAGCAGTCAGTTGAGCCACGGAAGCCCACCGCCGCTGCCACAATGCGATTATTTGACCTCCAAATGCGCAGACCACTCTACCAATTTTTTATATGCATGAGTTGCATGTTTTGTAGACCTTTCAAGCAAGCACCCAGAGCTGCCTTTTACCCGCGTGTATTGGTTTTCAAGGTCCCCTTCCTGCCGTATTCTCCCATTTCTCCACTCTATCGCCACTCCTTTGCCTGTCCGTCGTAAGTCTGCTCTCCTCTTTTTATCACAACTCCTTCCCCTGTCTCAACTGCTCCGCGATGCCAGCCACGCTAGCTCAAACTAACAAGCTTCTTTTTCTAGCTAGAAATGAGCCTAGAGCAGTTCTATGCTTTCCAAATTGTTTTACATGCACATATTGCTTGTGTTCGTGTGCGTGAGACATGGATGAAGGAGAAAAACTTGGGAGAGTCCCTGACGTCACTCGTTGTGAAGCCCTGGTGAAACCAAAAGTCAGCCATATTGACTGGGCGAATTCTCCTCTCGTGTTTACATCCGAAAGTAAAGCAGAAGGGGCGACTCTCTCCGGCTCGAAAAGCACGTGGGCTGTGCAGCGCACGCGTCGTGACGATCCTAAACTAATAGAATGGCGCTCAACACTCTAGGCCAGCACGACACTTTCAGCAACATCATTTCGTCCGAGTATTAACAGAGAGCGACAGCTCACCAACAATGAGGCAAGTACAGCTCACCAACAATGAGGCAAGTACAGCTCACCAACAATGAGGCAAGTACAAGAGAACGTGCGCTAGATGCACTGACAACGGCTAGTGTTTTCACGTCATCAATTCATGCACTGTACAGACATCACGATCGGTCGTGCACTTTCTATGGTGGCATTCCGACACGAGGCCAACGCAGCGCCCAGCCACTGTGCCCGTGTTCCGCGTGATACTTACTGGTGTCAGCATTCTGCAACCGTGGTGACTTCGAGCACGGTGCACACTTGAACGCGGTTGCTCTAACGTTGAGATTACAAGCTGGAGGCGAGTATAATAAACCGAACAGAAAAGGTGTTTTCTTACGCACATGCAAGTTGTTACTGTACACATACCGAACACGAAACTAAGCATGTGCACATGGTTCTCATGGCGTCTTGCAGGACACAACAGTTTTGTCCGTTGCCAGAAACAGGAGCACTGCCAAACCGTCATTGACCTGCAAGTCGTTCGGCATCGTTCTGCTTCGTCATGGTGCCCAACGCAATTTCGCTGAACATTTCAAATGCTTCATCCGCGTCATCTGCTGCACAACACATGGATATGCGTTCGTTCTACGCACTGTTCTGGCCCCGTGGTAGACGAAAGGTTTTGGAAACGTTGCTAAGAGTACAGTAACTGCCAGGAGAACGCTGCGTAACCAATAAAGCAGCGTAGAGCACGGATATTGTTCGCCACGGCTCAGCACAAGACCTCCGGAGGCACACATGCCGTCACTAAGGTCCCTGCTCTAGGGACCTTAGCCGCGGCCGCTAACTGCTGGACCAGCTACACTGCACAATACGTAACCATAGCAACACCGCTATTGTGCCCAGTGAATATGGCCACCATGATGTCATTTTCTCCACACTTTTCATGTACCGTGCCGGCTAGGCACGCCCTCTCCTATCTTTCCTTCCTCCGTGGTGTGAGAGGTCAGGATGGCGGATGGGAAGCCTTCCCCACCTTTTCCTGCCACTCAACAGAACATAGAAAGTGCAACCACATAGCTTATTATAGGCGCCGCATTGTGAATCACTTGCTCATACCAGTTGACCGTCCAACAGGCAACTTGCCATTTCATGTGTGCATGTATCCAGCTGTGAAAATGGTGAAGGCTTCGTGGGCAAAGGTAACGCTAGAAGTGTGTGCAACTGTTTTCGCGTAGCCAGCTTCGTCGACCTCAGACCTGATGGATAGCCTGAAGCTTCCGAACGGGGCCACTTCGGCAGCGATTTGTGACAGCACGTTCTCAACTCCGACATGGCAGGGCGGAACATCTGCTGGATTGATTTCATTATAGCCAGTGATGGTGCGGACACTGCAGAACCATCCACGAATGAGGGCATTCTGAATGAAGTGCGCGGCAAGAACTATTCAGAAAAATCAGATGATGACGACAACGAAACATTGGAGCCAGTTCCCACAGGCATGGCCGTAGTAATTGGCTACATTATTAGACACAGGCAGCTTCTGTATGCCAAAGGTTTGGGGAAAAAACATGCTGCCGTTTTGAAGAAAGTCGAGACCACCCATATCGCTTCTGCTTTTCAAAGCACGTGCATTACGAACTTTTTTTCAAAAGGAAAAATCTGTTTTCACTTGTAACTTTTTTATAGCTGTGTTTCATTTACTACGAACTTCGGAATACAGCAAATGGAAGTCGCATCACGCTCAAGTTCGTTATAGATGAGCTGAACCTAATTGTACTTTTAATGGATTTATATTACTCAACTTTTGCTGACACACAAACAAAAAATAAAGAACTGCAGGACCACAATATTATTGCGAACAATGCCTGCACCACGCAATGGCTGTTCAAAACCATTGCTCAAATGCTCCCAGTCATTGCTACATTCTTTTTTGAACCACTGATAAAATCATCTTGTAATTGTCTACAAAATTTGGTTTAACATCTTGTACACAATCTGTGCCCTAGAGAACAAAAATGTGTAGGCATGTGACTGAAAAACCTCAGTGTACTCACGTTTCCACTCGTGTACACTGAGGTCCCGATCCTCGAAGGACTGATCGCAGGGCTCGGCGGACGGCTCGTCAGATGGGTCGGCCAGGCTGGCCAAGTACGGGTGGGCCAAAGCCTCAGTGGCAGTGGGGCGCTTGTCCGCATCCAGTTCCAGCATGCGTTCCAGAAGGTCAATGGCTGGACAACAACAAAAAGTCTTGTAATCAGCACATGAAGAGGTGTTCGAGGAGAAAAAAAAAAACAACTATTCTTTCATTGAACCTTCACAATTGCAACTACATAAAAAGAGCTGAGCTAGTTTTCAAAACGATTTCTCATGTATTAGTAAAGTATAATGTCACAATCTCGAAAACACCACTCTTACCATGACACGGAACTTGGTAAGCAAGAAAATGCGCAACAAGAAAATGCGGGTGGTGATGCCATCTCGAGATTGCCACCCCAAACACCGTGATGTGATAGATTTTTAAGGCATCAACTGCTTCCCATGTAGCTTCTAATCGATAAAAATGAAGTATATTGTCATCTGTAGGTGCTATAGACCTAGAATACTAAGTTTCAGAAAATTTAACTGAGCCAATGTCACAAGAATATGAAATATGCATTTGGAAATTTTTGATGTCAGATGTGTAGAATTTGGCAAAAAATTCGAAAATGAAACTTTAACATTGATAAGACAGTCTCCTTGATAAAGGTAAAACACCAACACACTGCACTGAACACAATGAAATGTTAAACACACACACACAAAAAATGACATTTCATCTTTCACACGGGTGCCTTGTTTACAATTTAAATGAAAACATGTGTCCCAGGAGTTCACCTTACGTAAGCTTGAATACAGTAGATTCTCAGTAAACCGAAATCTGTTAAATGAAACTGTTGTAATCGGTGAGCAAGGCGACGCTGGACTCAGTTGGTGGCGAAGGTTTAATGTCTCAAGCAAGCGGCTCGCATGCCAATATAAGTACAGGCACATGACGTAGCCTGTGACGTCAGTACGGCGCGTCATACGTTGGCTACTACATCTCTTCCCCCTTTATTTAGCAGCATAGCCAAAACGTTCGGGAGGCTTTCGAATTCTTGTGCTTCGTCGCAATTCAGGTGGCGCGACGTTTTCTTGGGAGCTGGCGTCAGGCGCCTGCTGTGATGGCAGTTCCGTCACGCTGGCTCGGTCAGGTGGCTGAAGTCGTTTCTCTGGTGCAGGCCCGTCCGGCGGCGATGCGGTGTCGCTGTCGCTTTGTGACGGAGTGGAACCCGGCTGTGCCATGCGGGTTTGCTCAGGAATCCACACGCTTCTGAGAAGAGGAGCAAGGCATGTGTTAGGAACAATATCGTCCGCATGCAGAAAGCGCTCGTGGTCTTCGATTCGGACTATGTATGTTCCTTTGCTAACTCGTCGCACAACTGTTCCTTCCAATCAACGTGGATCACTCGGTCGGTTTCCTCGCACACAAACGTTGTCGCCAACCTCGAACTCCCTCCATGAAGTATGGATTTCCTGACCCTGTCTTCGAGCTACATTTGCTTCGGCACGTTTCGCTAGCTCCGGATGCAAGATGCTCAGCCTCGTGCGTGGCCTCCTTGAGAGAAACAGTTCGGCTGGCGTCTTACCGGTCGTCGAACACGATGTGCTTCGGTAGGTGAACAGGAACTGGTCTACCCGATGTTGCATAGTTCGAGTCACTCCCGTGTTGTGCTCGTCCCGTAGCTGTTTGATGAAGCTTCGCTTGACGGTCTGGACAAGCCTCTCCGCCGTGCCATTTGAAGCTGGGTGGTAAGGTGGTGTCTTGGTGTGCTGCACTGCATTGGAGTTGAGAAAATTTGTGAATTCAGCAGACACAAATTGCGGCCCATTGTCAGTCCCAATTCTCTCGGGAAGCCCAAATGCAGCAAAAACAGTGCGGAGTTTTTCAACTGTCGCCTGTGCTGTAGTGGACTTCATGTGCAGAACATCCACCCACTTAAAGTGCGCATCGACAAGCACTAAAAACCAGTCGTTCTTGTAGTAGGCAAAATCCAGGTGAACTCTCTGCCACCTGCGGGTTGGCCATCCTCACGATAACATCGTACACGTGGGGCGCAGAGTTCTGCGTTAGTTGGCAAGTTGAACAACCTCTTACAGTTTCTTCAATGCGGTCGCACAACTTTGGCCACCACACATGGCTTCTTGATAGCATTTTCATGCGAGTGATGCCTGGATGCCCTTCATGCAAAAGCGATAAGACTTCAGATTGTACCGCTTCAGGTATAACAACCCGAGTTCCCCATGTTATGCAACCACAGTCTACCGACAGTTCGTCTTTCCGCGAGAAGAATGGGGCTACGTTGTCTTCTGACACGTACGATGGCCATCCATTCAAAACATACATTAGCACCTTAGACAAAACTGAGTCTTTTTGGGTTTCGTCACTGATCCTTTTCGCAGATAGTGGTACGGCTTCTACTGCTGAAAAGAAGTGAACGTAGTCGCTTTCGTCGGTGTCGTTCGGAAGCGGTAATCGCGATAACGCGTCCGCGTTTGCTACTTGGGCTCCCTTTCTGTACACCCATTTGTAGCGATATGCAGCTAGAACTAGCATCCAGCGCTGCATGCATGCTGCGGCCATTTGCTGAATTGGCTTTGTTTGCCCCAGCAGCCCCTCCAGGGGAAGGTGATCGGAATAAATGGTGAATTCACGGCCGTAAAGATACTTGTGAAACCGTTTGATTCCGAAAATCACAGCCAACACTTCCTTTTCTATGTGTGCGTAGCCACCTTCGGCCTTGCTCAAGGTGCGTGGCGCATATGCTATCGGACTTTCCTCCCCGTTCACGACATGAAACAACACTGCGCAAACCCCGTAAGGAGAGGCGTCGCAGACTAATCCAAGAGGCTTCTTTGGATCATAGAATGTTAGCACGCTTGCTTGCATAAGGAGGCTCTTACTCTCCTCGAAGGCTTTTTCTTCTTTTGCGGACCAGACCCACTTCTTATCCTTCTGAAGCAGTGCATACAAAGGCTTTAGCCTCGAAGACATGTTTGGCATGAACTTGGAGTAAAAAGTTATCTCTCCGAGGTACGCTTTAAGCTCACTGATGTTCTTAGGTGTCGGTGCTTCCCTTATGGCTTCAACCTTCTCGACGCACGGGTGCACACCATTTTTGTCAATGATATGCCCAAGATATTTGACAGAATTCAAAAAAAACTTGCATTTTTTTTTTCTCACTTTTACGCCGTGGTCCCTGAAAACCTGCAGGACTGCTGCCACCCGGGCCAGGCATTCGGTATGCGATGCTCCCGTGATGAGGACGTTGTCGAGGTAGCATACCACTCCCGGTAGTCCTTTCAACAGCTCGTTCATGATTGCCTGGAAAACTGCAGGTGCACTTGAGATTCCGTACGGCATTCGAGCATACTGGAACAACCCCATGTGAGAGTTTATAGTCAGCAAGGGTCGCGAGTCAGGGTGCACCTCGATTTGCTGATAGGCCGTCGAAAGGTCCAGAACGGTGAAAACCTTGCCCCCAGCCAGTGTCGTGAACAAATCCTCCACCGCGGGCAGTGGGTAATGGTCGGTCTTCACACATGAATCACCGTCAATTTATAGCCTCCACACAATCGTACTGTGCCGTCTGGCTTGTGAACAGCTACCAGCGGCGTGGCCCAGTCGCTGCGGGTTACGGGCACCAGTACGCCCTCTTTTTGCAAGTTGCCTAGCTCATGCTCGACAGGTTCACGAATGGCATACGGCACAGACCGCGCCTTGCAAAAGACTGGCATGCTTCCTTCCTTAAGCACCAGTTTTGCTTGGTAACCCTTTATCAACCCTAAACAAGGTGAAAAAACGCTGGCATACCTTGACAGGATGCTGTCGACAGACGGTTGTGCGTGCACCTCGTGAATGCTGTTTAGGTCCATTCCGAGGTTCGCAATCCAGTCGCGGCCTAGGAGTGCTGGCTTCTCTCCTGGTACCACGATGATTGGCAGGACTATCCGCTGTCCCTTATAATCGACCAAGACCTCCGCTTGGCCTTTCACTAGTAGCGTCGCTCCGCCGTAAGTCTTGAGCTTCATCTCGCACTTCGCAAGCTGCAGGCGGCTGCGGCGGCTGCTTTAGCTGCCGGTAAACGCATTCCGGAACGAGTGATACGGCTGCGCCCGTATCTACTTGCATCTTCACAAGCTGGCCGGCTATCTGTACTTCAACTTCGTATGGTTGTTCCGTGCCCACCAGATACACACCGTGCAGCAGCAGCTCTGTGCCTCCGCTCGCTTCGTCACTCACGTTGTGGACGGTACCAGGCGCCGGTTGCTTGCATCTGCACATGCGCGCCAAATGTCCCACGCGCTTGCAAAGATGGCATTTGAATTTACGATAACGGCAGCAACGGGCGTCATGCTTTTGACCGCATCGATAGCAGCTTTGCATTGAACTGTTCTTCGGCTTGCTGGCAAACTCCGGTTCCTTCCCCGTCTTCTTTAGAGCGTGAATGTCGGCATCCGTATTCGCAGTTGGTCGGAATCCCCTCGACTCCCGCTCCGCTAGCTCAACGCTCTTAGCAAAAACGCAGGCCGATTCGAACGTCAGTTCCTTCCTCTTCAGTAAACCCGTCTGAATGGTGGAATTCCGTAACCCAGCGACGAACCGGTCCCGTAAAGCGTCGTCGAGAAACGTACCGTAGTTGCACTTGGCTGCCATGTGCTTCAGCGTGACTGCAAATGCCGCGACGGACTCCCCTTCTCCTTGGTAGCTCCTGTTGAATTTGAACCGCTCCGCAATGACTTGACTTGAAGGCTCGCAGTGGCCACTCAGCACATTCACCAAGTCCTTGAACGTCTTCTCTTCAGGTTTTGCAGGTAGAAGAAGGTCCTTGAGCGTCTTGTACGCTTTCTTTCCTATGGCAGAGATGAAGGCTGACTTTTTAAGTTCTTCGTCTTGTACGCCGGCTACTTTGCAATAGTGCCCAAACCGTTCTACATTCAAAGCGAAATCTTCGTCTCCTTCTTCTATGAAGGCGTCAAATTCCCACATCTTCGCCATACCTTGCCTTTCGCCTTCCAGCTGTCGTTGCTCACAGGATCCGCCCTCGTCGTTCGGTGCAGCCTATCCCATCCTCGTCGCCATCTGTTGTGGCTGGCGAGCAAGGCGACGCTGGACTCAGTTGGTGGCGAAGGTTTAATGTCTCAAGCAAGC